CATTCGATCTTCATTCTCGCACAAGTTTTCGCATAACCATTCGATCTTCATTCTCACGCAAGTTTTCGCATTTCATACTTGGCGCCATGGCCTAATATTTGCAGCTTGCCATACCCCACTGTAAGGTCGTTGCGTATTTTGAAACCCGTCTACATCGGTAATCGCATATCGGTCGTTGTCCAGTTTCTTGGCAACTTTGTATGGTCCTTTAAACACAGGTATAAGCTTTTGTGATGCCCTAGCCGTACTATCGAAATTCTTAATGGAAACTAATTCCCCTACGGAATACTCGTGCGCTTCCTTGCGCTTTTTATCTGCATATTCCTTATTATACGCTTGCGATCTTAAAATCCTATCTGATGCGCGCTCGCGCGTCTCGTCTAGATCTAAACACGTTTGTTCATTCTCATCTTCTAAATATTCGCGTAATTTATCTGCGAGCTTTTCACGTTGTCTCACCCCGAACAATAACCGACTTGGTGTCTCGCCCGTTGCGTTACTTATAGAATTGTTTAACGCATACTCGACATCGGGAATAACCTTATACCAATACTTCCCCGCTGAATCGTCTGACAGTTTGGCTAATATCGGGGTCAAGGTTCTATTGACCCTTTCTACCTGGCCATTGGCCTGCGGTGAGGCCGTAGCAATTTTAATATGTTGGATCCCATTGTCACTCATAAAGTCTTCGAACTCATTACTCATTGGTAAAACAACTACCTCTATCTGTAATTATTACCTTTGGTCGTGAATAATGGTCGAAATATTGTTGCAGGCTGCTAATTGCCTCCTTACTAGAAGTTGTCTTCGTCGGGTAAAGTTTCACGAATTTCGTAAATGAATCTATTACGACTAATAAGTGCTGCTTGATTAATCGCTTCTTATCGATCGGACCCAGATGATCCACGTGGATAATACCGAAAGGGACATTGCCCTTGGGAATCGGATGAAGCAGACCTTCGACTTTCCCACTAACCGGCGAAAACGTAATACATTTTAGGCAATTTTTAATATGACCGTCTACCTTCTCGCGTAGCTTCGGAAACCAATAGTTTTCGAGGATCGCTCGAGCTGACTTCTCGGTTCCGAAATGACCTAACTCGTCGTGATATCTATACAATACGTTTCTCTCCATCTGCTCCGGTACGTAAAATAATAATTTATCCCCGTACTTGCGATATACAAGCCCGTTCCTCATCTCATAAAACTTGTCTTCGGATTGTTCGAGTTTAGCCCGAATCTCGATAATTTTTGGGTCTTGTCCCTGACAGATCGTAACGTCCCATTCGAAAGGGTTTTCTTGTATCACACCGACGGTTCGGCTAAGTGCGTCCACGTGACGCATACGCGTACCGGGTCGATATTTTAATTCGTAATCATAATTGAGCAACGCAATTGCCCATCTCTCGATTCTGCGATTAACGTCTTTCTTTTTAAGTGTCATCGCGACCGCGCTACAGTCAGTCATGATTTTAAATTTTAGCCCTTGTAGATAAATTCGAAAGCGTTCCAAAGCGTAAATTATTGCAAGGGTCTCGAGTTCAAAACTATGCAATTTTGATTCGCCTTCCGTCGTTCGTCTAGAGTAGTAAAATACCGGGTGTGTCTTACCATCAGCTTTCTTTTGCATAAGCACCGCCTCGTAACCCGCAGAACTTGCATCGCAATGCAATTCCGTTTGATCGTTCGGGTTATAAATCGCTAAGATTGGAGCTTCCGTAAGTTTGTCTTTAAGTGTCTTAAATGCTTCATACCCCGTTTCCCGAAAGTGAAACGCCGTATTCGTTTTTGTCAAATCATAAAGGGGTTTAGCGATAGACGCGAAATGTTCGATAAATTTCCTAAAATATGAGCAAAGTCCGAGGAAGCTACGCACGTCGCGTGTGCTTCTGGGAATCGGATATCTGAACTGCATCGATACCACTTCTTGTCGGCTTTATACCCTTCTCGGAAACTATATACCCCAGGTATTCTACTTCCGTCTGAAGGAAGTAGCACTTTTCGATCCGTAACTCCAAAAGATTTTCCGAGATAGTCTTAAATACTCGTTCAAGTATTTCTAAATGATGGTCTATTGTCTGAGTAGCTATCAATATATCATCCATGTAAATTGCCATATCCCCTGCTCTCGTAAATTCGGTCAAAATGAGATTTATATAGCGCTGAAACGTCGCTGGTTCTGTACGCAGTCCGAAAGGCATTCTTAACCACTCGTACTGACCTAATGGAGTCACAAACGATGTATACTTAACCGATTCTTTTGCGACCTGAACGTGATGAAATCCGTCTTTTAAATCTAACACCGTATAATACTTTTTGTTCCCCACAATTGCTAATTGATCTTCAATAAGAGGCATAGGGTAGTTATCCCTCGCCGTCGCTTTGTTAAGGACACGGAAGTCCACGCATATTCGTACTTTTCCGTTTCTCTTTTTCGTCAAAACTATAGGTGATGCAAATTCGGATTTACTAATCTGTATTTACCCTTTCTCTAACCATTCGTCTAAAATTACCTGAAGCTTTGCTTTTTCGTCATATGCGAGTTTGCGCGGGGTACAGTAAAACGGTTGCGAATTGTCTAATCGTAAATGCAATTCGGTTTTCGTTTTCGGCTCCCGCGGTCTCGGATAATCTACGTACAATTCTTTGAAGATTTGTTTCAGCTCGGTTTTCGCTTCGTAAGGTATCGCTGAATTTATCTGCAAATCGTCTACTAAACTATTCTCGTTTCCGATTAAGTTGATGTTCAACATTTCTCGCCAAGCGCAATCGTCCGTCGGTAGCGTCAACCGAATACCGAATTTTCGCAGTATATCGCGACCTAACAGAGCTGGCGTCACCGACGTGTCTTCCGGTACCACGTAAATTCTAAGATTCTCTCTCGAAATATCGCCAATCGAGATTGTTGCATAAACTTTTCCTAAGAAATCTAATTGTACCTTTTTACACCCGCAGTAATCTCGATCCGTCGAGTCTAACGGTAAAAGCCCGTGCTTCTCGATAAAACGCTCCTTCACGAAACTGATCGGACTACCGGTATCCAAAAGCGTGTCTAAACACAACATTCGCCTTAAATCAGAGTCTTTTATTTCATACGTTACGTTCTTTCGGTGTTCAACGCTATCTTCGTCTGCCGGATCTTCGTACACGTTGGATACTTGCGGCTTTTCCTTCATCTCCTTCGTTTCCTTCGGTTCCTTCGTCTCCTTCTGTGGGCAATTCTTCACCACGTGTCCCCTCTCGCCACAGTGGTAGCATGATCCACGTTCTCGTGGGGGTTTAGAACAGTCTTTCGAAATATGTCCCACTTTGTTACAATTGTAACATCTAATCGGCTTCTCGCTGTTTTCTTCTTTCACTGAAATCCTCAGGCCTTTCGTTTCCGATTTTAGCTTATCCGTCGTCTTCTCCGCTGTTTGTCTCTCGCCTTGCGCGGCGTCCTTCTTACAGCGATTTATAAGAGAGATTTTCCGAAAACCGTTGAGCAAGTCTTTCACGTTAGTGAAATTCTGCATTCTTGCCTGATTCCGTAATGTTTGGTCGGGTATTCCGTACACTAAACAGTCCAATAAATCTGCTTCTTCTATTGGCACTAAATTACTCAGGATAAGTTTTTCGTGGTAGTAATTGTTGAACGACTCGGTCGTCTGCCACGTCCTTAGTTCGAATTTCCTAAGATCCATTTTGCTTGGTCGTTGATCGAAACCATCCTTCATGGCTGTGAGTAATTCGTCCAAGGCCATTTCCGTATACTCCGGTCTTGAGCGAAACCATCTCTCCGCTTTACCTTTAAGCTTCGAGCTAATAATTATTTTCATAATGGCGTCGTCCACAGTGAAGAGTCCCTTGACCAGTCGAACTTGTCTCTCCCAGTCCTCATAATAGCGATTCGATCCGTCGAATTCGCCCAGTAACTCTCCGATGCCTTTGACGTCGGCACGTAATTGATTTGGTACGTTATCGGCCTGTTGCTGCGTATTTCTTCTTAAAACGTTCGCTGGATTTTCTGGGCTTGCCAGTGCCGGTTCCCGTCGAGCCAATTCTGCTTCCCGTTGCGCTACGTCTCTTTCTCGACGCATCAACTCTAACTCTTGCTGTAAAAGTTCGTTTCTCTGTCGTTCCGATAGAAGCTGATTCTCATTATGCTCCTCTTCTTCTTCCGAATCATTTGCCGTCATCCATCTTCCTTCAGGATCTGCTTCCATTAATCGAGTTATCAATTCCGACTTCAATCCTGTTTGTGGTAAATTCCGGCGTCTTAATTTTTCTTTTAGTTGTGCTGCCGTAAACGGACTCGTCGCTTCCGCCATCTTGACACGCCGCGAGATTATTCTTTCTGGTGCGCGCGCACAATCACAAGCACAGACACCGAACGTTCTCGACCTTCGCGCCCAAAACAACTAACGGTCGTCACGTTTTCCACTGTCCACAGAATTCGCAAATCCTGATTAATTTCTTAATCCTGTGGTCTTACCTAAATCCAATGCTGCGCACTAGGCATAAGACGCACATCGGGAAACGTAACCTAACACGCGCTGCCGAAATTTCGTAAATGCGTAACTGTCCTTCCCACGTATAGAATTCCACGTTTTTCGTAATATATCCCACTTCTGAAATTGTAAGGACGGGATCTTTGAGCGGTTGCAATGAGCAAAGTTCACTTGTGGGTTGAAACGATGGAATATATATTTATTTAGAGGTTATCGAGGTTGCCTCGAGCTAAGGCTGCAGCGGACTCCCCGCAAACCCGCCGCCCCCACTCTCCCGTATTCCCGCCTGTCGCGTTCGGCATTCAACTTTGCGGATCACTCTTCTACATAGATTGATAATGTTTGTCGTGCGATAAATCATTGTGTTTCGGGACAAAAGATAGTATGGCAATTCTATAGGTTTATTTATTGAGATTCCAAATATGATTCATCATACGATAAAATGTATTATTTGTAAATGCTTTTTCTCTCAAGGTGGGGCCATTTCATAGTAGATCAATTGCTTATTCTACTCGGCATCAGGAATTTTTGTAAAACCGATATATTATGTAGTACATTTAAAATTGAGTGAGGTAGGGGGGGCCTAGTTTACTACATTACTAATTGTAAGCGAATGAGGGAACACACACAGGGTGCGCCATTATTATCTTTTCACGAAACTATCTCCCGAAATACAGTAAATCTTAAGGTTAATGCTCCAAACTCGGGACCGCTATGAAGCAGGTATCGTAGAAGGACAAGACTTACGCACCAAATAAATTTTTGGTCACTATTATATTTTGCCAACAGTGACGATCGAGGCATCAACTGTATATCGGCGTGACGACATTAATGCAATGATTAAATTCTATTATTTTCGATTCTTTGTTAATGAAATTTTTATTAGTATATTGGTGAGATGTTTTTTATTGAAATGAGGCTATACACAATATAATTTGAATCATGCTTATTTACTTAATAAGTGCTAATAACTCATTTTCTTTCATTATCGCTTCAGATAAATTGGAAATGTTTTCAAATTATCTCGTGTTTGGTATCATTTTAATAAAAAAAATTACATCTATATTGTGAAAAAATTTTCAAAGCAAAATAATAAAAAATAAATAAGTTTAGTGTTGCATTAGTATCCTGCTGACAAAATGCAAAGGCCAGCTGCCGAAGCTCGGCCCGCTATTTATGAGGTGCGGAAATCTTGTCTATCTATGATAACTACTCCAAAGCGGTCCTAAATTTCGAGCATTAATCAAAGATTTACATATCACAATTATGAAGTCGAAACGATAGTACGTCGATCGATTTGACTCCATTTTTCCAAATACAGACGTTTATTATCTTAAAAACCATTCAACCTATGAGGCTTAAAGTTCACAGAAACAAATCTCGTCATACTATCAGTGAATAGTTTTAATTTGAAAGAAATCTGTGATATAGTGGTAAGAATTGTGGAATTTTACGTGGAATCTATCGTACTCGCCCGTTGAGCCGACCTCACAAACATCGTATTTACGCGCCGACGATATCTAAATCACGCCACGGAATTAATAATAAGACTTCGTACACGAAGAACTGACACTGTACATACACTGCCGAATATAATGATTGCTCATCTTTTTCCGGCCTATCAAAAAACACTACCAGAAACATCATTCCCATTTATATCACGATGTTCAGTGTAGTCTCTTTGCTATCGTTTGAATTCAGAAATTGATTAAGGAATTAAGCCTAGCTTATAAAACATTTTATTCAAAACATCTAAGGACAAATAAAGAAATATGCGAAATATTCACGCTGAATGTATACGAGCAGTATATACATACATTTATAAAAGAAAGGTTGAAATGAATTTCTCAATTTTAATTTTTTTAATTTTTTTTTAATCTATACTTTCATAGTTTTATTCTATAATTTTCAAAAAGGCATATATAACTATTTATAATAACGGAATAAGTATGTACTTTAAAAGGCATTCTGTTACACTACTCATTTGCATTCATATAGACATTTTATTTGTTTGCGTTATACATGTAATATTCGGATTTTATGTAAAGTAATTTTAGAGAATTAATAGAGTGATGAGAACGGTTCCTTGTGTAGGTATCCGCTGTTTTCGTTTTGTTAGAAAAGATCATATCGTCCCATGTTTGTTGTTATGAACGGTGATAATGGAGACATGCTAATGAATGATATATTTTATATTATGCATAAGCCTTTATGTATGTTCAATAAATTTTTACTATAGCGAACTTTTCAACTTTTAGATCCTGGAGCCATACAGAGAAGTCTATCAGACTATATTTTTTGCATTATGGAGAGCAAAAAGAATGGAATCTATATTATCTGCAATTTGGAAACGACAGATAACATCAGCAAAAATGTTTCGTAAAATGCCGGAAGTATTACCAATTCAGACACATATACATTTAATTACAAGCAGTATGGTTCATTTGGTGCATCAAATGCAGTATTTCTTTTTATTTGAGGTAAGACTAGAAATACATAAATACACGATAATAAGGCGAAAGGGTATTAGCAGACTTAAGTGATGACATTGTCCAACAAATTTAAACTTTTTTCTGATCTGCAATATCTATTGGGAGATCCTTATAGAGTTTCTGGTCCAGATCATCAGTCTTCATTTCCCACAGTTTTTGAAAAACATGAGTTTTCGTAGAAACACCTGATTTTGGGCAAAAATGGCGTATTACGTGAAAACTACAATTATGAGATAGTTGAATTTAATCTCGAAAGATAAAGGAGAGTTTCCTGAATACTAGCACGAATTTGCTACACAGTATCGGATTCTGTAGGCATTTTTTAAGAATAAACTATCCAAAAAAAGTGATGGAATGGTTTTTAATTCGAACAAGTCGGCAAAATATCCGTCGGCAACGTATGCACGTTGTTTTACCGCCACGCGATCATTACTCACTTACTTCGACCAGTGACTACAGACATAATAAGACTACGGATGTCATTGTTATCGAGGGGTCATGGATTTTGGGTGCTTGAGAACCCCAGAGTGAAGTTAGGCCTCTATCACCACATACGAGATTCTCGTCTGTGCTGTCACATACATCCATATGTATCCTACATGTACTCTGCAATGCTAATGTGTTTTATGCTGTTATGGTAAGATAGAGCAAATGGTGCTCGTTGTCGATGCATAGATTCATAACCCCTCCACAACAATGGCATTCGTAATCTTATTATACCTGTAGTCACTGGTTACTGCCTCGACTCTTCAGTGTCGTAGCTACACCTGATCGACACCGATAGTACCGTCCAATGGGCATCTCCTTGCCATATGAATAATGTTTGATATTTTCTATGTATTCTTGGATACTAGTCCTGCAAGTCTAATGAATTTTACCTGATCACTTTAAGTGTCAAATTATTTCAATGTTCGATGCATGTCTACGTATGAACAATATTTGAAGCCAACGCGACGTCTATTTAAACATTATTCAAGCGTCTTTCTTTAATAAATTCATTGTTCAATATTTCTGAAAGACAGGTTGAGATAGAAAAATAATATAATTTTCTGAGGTTTAGAAAAGTAGGAGTTTTATCGCAAGCTCTCTGGAAATCTAAACATCATTTGACGTTCCTCTCTGATATATTATTTAATGTATTTCATATATTTCCATATTTGGGAAAGTGTTGGGAATCTTGTAAAATCATAATAATAATCATCCCGTAAACTCAATACCAATTGAGTGCGATTTTTAACGGCTTCATACATATTAATGAAGCAAGGGAGTGCCCATTGGACGGTACTATCACTGTCGATGATGCGTAGCTACGACACTGAAGAGCTGAGGTAAGCGAGCAATGGCCGCGTGGCGGTAAAACGCCGGGCTTATGTTGTTGAAGGATATTTTCCCGACCTGATCGAATTAAAAACCGTTCCGAAACTTTTTCTGGATGGTTTCTTCTTTAGGAATGTATACAAAATCTGATACCGTGTAGCAAATTCGTGCTAGGTAAAAAATACGCACATTGGCTCTTTTTTAAACTTCTACGGCTATTTACAACCATTAAGAATTACACAATTTAATAACTAAATACGGAGCCATATGCATGGAACTCTCCTCTATTCTTCAAGATTCAATTGAACTTTTTTGGCGTTTTTAGTTTTAGTAGGTGTTTTTGCAAAAGCTCATGTTTTTCAAAAACTGAGGGAAATTGAGAAATTCTGCTGACGAATTCGTCATCCGAACGAGAAACTCTATGTGGGAACGGGAGCATGCCTTTGAAGTCTTTCGACATAGAAAAGGACAAGCGACGTAGAGAAGAGACAGAGGAAGCATCTCGTTCCACTCGATTCGACTACGTGGCCCGCCGCTCTCGCCGACCAACGGTTACATTATAACCGACCACACAGTCCGATTGTGTGTGTACCGTTTCTGCCACTAATACATAAGACGTGTGAATGGAGGTGATACAGGTACATTTTATTCGTCGACAGCTCTCTGGGCAGTCGCTGACGACTGAACGCTTTGACTAATCGTCGTACATTCCCCCGCTTCGTCCGCAGAGTCCCACGAGCGCATACATTGTTGCACGGCGCGGCGAGACGGCTTCCCACTCACGAGCCAAAAAAGATTACATTCCCGGGTATTGGCGAGACAACGCCAATGCAACGATGAAACTTTTTTGTTTTTGATTTGTTGTTAATGAAACTTTTACTAGTATATTGGTGAGATTTTTCTGATTAAAATGATACCAAACACGGCATAATTTGGATCATATTTACTCATGTAGAAAGTGATAACAATTCATATTTGTTCATTATCGTTTCTGATAAATCATAAGTAAAT